GACGTGTGAGAAAAAAAGCATGAAAATCTTCGACAAAGTTTTAAAAACTCAGAAGCCGGAAAAAGTTTTGGAACTTCGAAAATGTCCTCTTCTTTCATTTTTACACTGCGTTTAAATTTTGGGAAATATCCATCTCTGAAGTGGTTTAAAATATCTCAGAAATAATACCAATAAGTATAGAAGAAAGGTCTGCACAGACGATTTAGTCCATTCCGGACTTTCCATGCATGAATTAAAATTGCATCCCAGTTTAATTTAATTAGAGAGAATTTAAGTTTCAAGTCCGAAATTAGTCAATTTTTAGATGGAAACTTTGAAGGAGAGGGTTGCATTCTAGGCCTGGTTCCATTTTTACAGTACTCATATTAACTCGGATCGTCAAGATCACACATATATAATCGAAGTAATCGAACTGACTGCTGACCATCAGGAAATTCTTTCGATGCAAATGCTGAAATACTAGAACGCTTGCGAGAATTTATAGACGAATCAGCGAACTTTTACGGACACCGTCGGAAATTGTGACCTTTTTCGCGATCCACCGGGGAAAATGCGTTTTATATTGACTCGTATACTGTACGAGAAAAAAAAATAATTAAAAATGCGAGGATTCCAAGCGAGCGAACCAAGCCGTGACGAACGTCGAAGGCACGAAAAATCTTTTACCAAGGCGAATCACTGACTTACACTGACATTCCCCGTCACTCACACACACACACACACCATGAGAAGAAGCATTTCCGACAAACCGCAACCAGTACTAAGACATGAAGTTTGAATTCAGCTAACGAAAACTGATGCAAGCCACGAAAAAAAAAAGGATCCCCCAAAAGTACACCCATGTCATCATTAAAACGCATTCTTCATTTCTGACCCTAAGCATGTTTTTTTCAGGATTTTTTGCTTATTTTTTTGCTTTGCTTTTCCAACTGAAAAATTAAATTTGATCGCAGTCATTTATTGGGGACAAATGTCACCTCAATATAATTTGACGTCAAGTGTTGATTAATCAATAATGAAACACAATAATCAGTCTGGGACAGGACTGGGAATTACTTTTAGGAATTCCTAGTTTAAAGGGATAAATGTATTTTGAAAAGTATAACTGAATAAAGCAACTCAAAAAACTCAACTTGCAGGAATAATTTGGATAACTTGAGTAACACAGCTGAACTGACAAACTGATGATAAAAATATGAAAAGGAGCTGCTTATATACTACTAATAATTAACCTTCAATAGGTTCAACTTCACCATTTTGAGGAGGAGGGGTTATTTTGTACTTCTAGGAATTGCATATTAATTTACACGGTGTGCATGCCCAACATCATCATTCCCATGAACTGAGTGGAATCCAGCAATCAAAACTCATTGATGGCCCTTTTAATTTCTTCATCAAGCGGCGTTCCTTGGTTTCAAGAAATGATGAATCTCGGATGATGAACGTCTCATTTTTAAATTGTGAAAATTGTGCAAATGATTGGATTCCAGAATCGATTATTTAAATTCGTCGAAGAAAGTGGAAAGTCCCATTTAAAGAGCATTTTGACTGTATTTTTTCCCGCGAATCTGTTGCATTGTGTTTCACATGCTAAAGACCTGCAATCAATGCAAAGGGGGAATTGAAATGTTTAATCCAAGAATGATCAGGTGTATCAAAAAAGCAAGCTCCAAGAAATAAATTGCTCGAACGACGCATTACTTGACTTACCTAATTCATTCCTGTGTTGCTCCGAAACCTGCTCTTTTGATACGTGATATTTTTATGCTTGTTCAATCTTTCTTCTTTTTTTTTATCCTACTCTTTCGACGCTCACGTGTCAAACTGAATTATCTCCTAAAGAAGCAACGTGTTCCCGGACATTTTTTCGCCCCTTTTTGTAACATTAACTGAGATGGACAGCCGTCTAATGCATTGAAACGAAGATGAAAGTGGTAAACTGGCGTGTCTTGAATTTTGAATTAAAAAATCTGGTTCGTCGGAGAAGGAATGCACATTTCACTATTCTTTTTTATTATTATTTTTTGGTTTCTCGACGTCCATGCTACGGTGTCCTCCAGAATATTCTCTGAGCAAAAGATATTATCGTGTTTCGGAACTAAAAGTTCTTATTTTTCGGGACTCACAAATTAAGGCGTCGTAGGTTATTTTATTTTTTGTCTTCGAAATATCTTGTGTCGCCGAATGTCTCTGGTTTGACTTTAATTCACATTGAATGTAACTACAACCGATCTTTGTAGCGAAAAATATGTTCTGCAGCAGAAATTCTTTTCCCCCTCGACTTGGTTTTTTATGTTTTTGCTTGAAATTATTTTTTCAAAACTGCGGTGAAAGTGGGGAAGAAAATCGTTGATTTCTTTCGTCCGCTGATGAGATAGTTATAAAAATAGACTTGTTCATCTCTTGGGGCATTTCATTGTGATACCGGACTGCGGAACTGAGCGAAATGCAGCCCTCAGGCAGAAACAGTCACGCCAGAACACTTTTTTTTTCTTCCCGGCAACCGCGGAAATGTTCATCTCTTACAGTGCAATTTTTTATTTGGACTCCACTTTTTGCATTTCCAATGTCCCGTAAAGTACTTTTGAGTTGTTTCACCTGTCGGAAACATTTGGTTTTTTGAAGCATCGTGCGAAAGCAAGACTCGCGTGCGTTGAAAATTGCCAACGCCGAGAAGAGGAAGGATTCGTCTGATCGGAAAATTGTCCATTGCTCGAAAATAATTGGAAATTTGATTTCCGTGTTTGAATAACTGCTTCAGGGCCTTTTTTGTTGAAAAACGGGCTTTGTTTCGAAGGTCTCGTCAAAAGCAACTCCACCAGAAGACGAGGATGAGCGAAAAAAACAGGCTGCAAATCAATCCATTTTTTTTTTCAGCGAACTCCAGGCCAAGTTTTTCTCAGGGTGCTGGAAAATTTTTTCGAAAAATATGAAAATAATGTGAGCCGTGCCAAAAGGAGCTGATTTATTTTGTTCTATATTCTTGAAAGAAATTGGACTCCCGTTTTGATATGTCCAGAGTTTTCTTCACATATAATCTAAAGCTCACGAGGAAATTTCTGGAATCAACACGAGTATGACCGACAGGATTTTAAGAAATAAAGGAGCTATCAATTTTGAAATAAAAGGAAAAACTTGCAATTGAAACTTAGTGCATTAGAAAACCAGCTTTTGAATTACTGGTGAGTAGGTTGGAATTGCTTTGTGGAATTTTCGATGCAGATGAACCGCAAACTGGTTCGATCAACTGGGAGTTATCAAAGGGAGAACGATTTTAAATGGTACCTATTCCTTTTCGTGATTAAAAAGGAAAGGTCCATATTTTCAAAATCACATGCAATGATTTTTCGGAAGTGGTTTACCTTCGGGACTAGGCTCATATTATACGAGGGTTGGTTCTTAAATTTTGAGACTTTTTGAATTAGGTCCGACAGACTTCCAACAATTCAAGATAAACAATTTTATTCGCATGGTCCCATCATTTTTCAACAATTCAGTAGTTAAATATACTCTCTGCCGATTTCTGTTCATTTTTTCTTGCGATCCAACGATTGAAACTGCCGAAAATCGAGTTATGTTAGTTGATTAGGCACCCTGTGGATTTATTGCATGAAGAAATGCATAGAAATCGGGGAGAATATGTTCAACAGCACTGAAGTGTTGTCAAATGATGGGGCTATGGGAGTACAATAATTTTTTTGATGGATCTACAGTATTTTTAAAATTCTCAAAACTTATGAACCAACCATCGTTAATTTCTATAAAGTTTAGTCGGGTTTTCTAAGACCTGCCTTTTCTTTAGGATATATCAGGATTCCTGATGCGTCCTCAATGTGCTTCGTCTTGAAGAACGCTCAGATGTTCCAGCAAATTCATACTTTCGGCAGATGATCAAACTGAAAAGGATAAAAAATTTCCGCGGAAAAGAGCATCACTTTTCCGATTACTCGCTATCTTTTCAATTTTTTTCCAAAGAAAGGAATTCAAACGATTGAAATAGGTTGACCACCCTGGAGCAGTGGGAATAAGCATTTCTGAAGCCACATCATCGAGGCTAAAAAAAAATTTTCTTCCGGCTCTTTTTCTCTCGATCATCCTCGTGGCTTCAAACACGAAGCTTTCTCTCGACTCTTTTTTTTTTTTGGAAAACGGGAAACGTATTCCGAAACGAAGACGATGCATGGACGCAAATGCGATGCCCAAGCGCCAAATACGGCCATCCGACCAGCTCATTTGAATCCCCTGCGCGTCCCACATTTAAATACCTCCCATGGCATAATATTCTTTCCGAGATTCGAAAACAACATTTTTTTCAACTTTCAAAACGCAAAGAAGCGACAACAAGTGACCGGAATCATAAATCTGGAGTACGAAAAAGTGTAATGTTTAGACGATGATCTCCGAAGAAGTTCAGCGATTTCGAGGAAAGTAATCATGATTCTGGACTTTTTCAAATGTAAAACTGACGTACTTCAACGTTTAAAATTTTTTTTATTACGCCGCTCCATCAATGTTTGATTTCTGAATTGATCAATTTTTTTTTACAGTTTTGGCAATTTAAGTGGCTCGATAAATAAATCCGAGTCTTCTCCAGTGACTCGCTTTAAATCACTAAATCTTATTGAAGTTGCAGAAAATGCAATTCCAGGATTGCAGAAAAGGACGTCCGTTTTTTTAACCATTCAGTTTTTTTTTTTAATCGAGAGAGCTGAGAAATTATTCGAGTCGGTGGAGAATACTGTGCGTTGCAAAAATGTATACAGTAGCTAACAAATTAATGTTGAAAATATACGGTAAATGGTTTTTCCGGCAATTTCGCAAAAAATTAAACGCACTTCTCAATGACTTCATTGCATCTTATTATTTGGGAAGCGATCAATAAATTGCATTCATGCGCTATCAATATGCAAGAATTTCGACGAATTAACCGACTTTCATTTACACTTTTGCGCATGAACCGGTATTCAACGGGGATTTTTTCTTTTCTTTTTCGCATTTTAGCACAAGTTCAAGCAGTTTGCTACTCTGGACGGTTTCAGAACCCGGGGTCGTTTCGGAATGGCGATTGCCTCACTCGGAGATGTCGACAAGGACGGATACAGCGGTGAGTGTAATGAATTATTGCGAGAATATCCGAAAAATTGCAAGACGATTTAGAAAATTATTCGCAAATGCTGTAAAAATGCAGTGAGTTTAACGAAGAAGCGATAAACCGGGGGTTTTTCATGAATTTTAAAATTCTCATCAGCATTCGAGCAAAATTGCCTGTAGGATTTCATTGAACGAGAGAGACTTGCCTTTCGATTCGCGCGGAAAGTGTTCAAAATGCCTCGAACGTGCTTCGACATTAGCGTTTCTTTCCGTGACATTAACGCTTGATTTCAATAAGTGTGCTTTTATTGAGAAATCCTTGTGCGGAATCAAAAGTGGAAATCCTGCTATATTTTCTGTCCGCAGATTTTGCAGTCGGTGCGCCGTACGACGGAGAAGACGGACGAGGCGTAGTGTACATTTATTTAGGATCCATCGACGGAGTCGTGAAAACAGCTTCGCAGGTATTTGAAAAGACAAAGTTATATTTTATTTCTCAATTCTTGCTTGTCAAGAAGTAATTAATCGAGGTGAATTGATCGTTCTCGACTATTTTATCGACAGACAATCGCGGCGAATACGATCGCTCCGGGATTGGAAACATTTGGATTTTCTCTGAGCGGTGGACTTGATTTAGACTTCAACGAATATCCGGACCTTTTGATTGGGTCATACAAGTCTGACAGCGTGGCTTATTTGAGGTTCGTTCAGCAGATTGCATTTTTTTTCAAACTTCGAAATTGAAGTGAAGCGAATTGCGTCCAATAAAGCATGAGGTTTCTAGGCCCACAAAAAACTGAGAATATGATTGAACATGACTTGATGATGAAATTTATGAATTTTCTCCGACAATTGCGAGAAAGCTTTTGGGCATCGTCCCGACAACAAAAAGTGTTTCCCACCTTGGCAAATCAAAGGAAAATCGTTGCCCTTTGATCAACATTGTATAGTTCATTCTCTATTACGAATCTAACAAATAAAGAGACAGATAGATTTTTCGAGACGAGGATGCCCTAATTTTACAGCCTAGTCTCTTTTTTTCGTAGACAATAATCATTACCTTGCAGATGCTATATTTTTCTTGCATCCCTGGTGCCAGTCGCAATTCTTATCCGGATAATTATACAAAAAAAAATTTCAAGAAAAAAACGCGCGTGATCGCCTGAAATTTCATAATTTTTCCTCCGTATTTCACGTATTCCGATCAATCTTTGACACAATGGTCACAATTACATTTTCTCAAGTCTCTGAGATATTTAATTTTTTGTGGGTCTGTTGGTCTGTAAACCAATCTGTTCCTCTTCGACTTTCGCAAGTAAATTGTCATATGCAGTATATTTAAAAATAAAATAAAGACTTATGGTTTTTACTAAAGAAAACAGATTGCTTGAAAAGCATTTAAGATGTCGGATTATTGCATTTTGCGAAAGACTTGATTAATTTCTGGGATACATTGTTCAATCTCAGTTAAAATAATTTTGATGATATCGACGGAAATTAGTCGAAAAAAAAATTATAAGGTTGATTCTCTCCTTCATTCCGGAATATTTTACAGGACGATTTTAATATGATGGTAATGTACAAAAAAGTGCTGATTACATGAACAACTTTCGAATCATATTTTTTGTTCGAAATATTCGTGGATTTTGAATTTATTTTCCGGTTGTTCGGGTGTCCAATTTTTAAGTTTCACTGTAATTTCAAGATGCATAAAATAGCTAATTGGTTCCAGGTCCGGAAAATATTCTCCACTGAGTAATACAAGTATTTCCGGATAATACATTCCGGAACCCTTTGGAATTTCCTTCAAAATTCCCCATGAAAATTTCTAATTCAACCGATTCTATCGGAAACACTGGAAAGAATCCTCAATGCAGTCGAGAATTGAGAAAAAAAGGTTCAATCCACTTGAAAACAACGATGGTGGCAAATTCATTCTCCCAGATTTTCGAAGGAAAATTCTCTTTCAAGGATTCCATTATCCGAAGCAAATATCAGCGTCAATCAGAATCCAGTGTGCAAAAAAAAAAAATCGATTATGCTAATCATTCAGTATCCGGAGTCCATTGCAAAAAAAAAAAAAAGTGTATGCATAAAAATCCGTTATGCGAGGCGTTCGGTATTCGGAGTTCCACATTATATTTAAGTTCTTGTTCCGCTTTTTTTTTCGTTCTATCCAGGGCACGTCCGGTTGTGAATGTTTCCGGGGGCTTTTTCTTCGAGAAACCCATGAAGGGTATCGATCTGTCCAACAAATCGTGTCAACTCAAGGACGGAACCCAGGTTTCTTGCTTACCTTATCGACTCTGCCTGCATTACGGAGGGGAAGGTGTCAACAATCAGATCTGTAAGTACAGTGTGCCTCTTTTTTTTTTTGCGTGCCCTTTTCATGTAGAATTACGGATGTTGGATGGTTCATAAGTTGTGTCAGCAATGCGTAGAACAAGGTTTCTTCAGACGTGATATACCAACACCCGATATGTGACATGCAAACTTCTACTTAAATTTAAGTACAGTTTCAGCTTCTTGAGTCAAACTCAGTTGAAACCTAAAAAAACTTTGTCCTGGAAATTTATTGAGGAATAGCAACTAAAGTGTTTGATTCAAGAGTATTGCAAAAATTTCAGAAAGGGCGAATTGGCAATTATTTCAATGTTTTATTGTTCCACTCTACATTCATCAATGCACAATATTAATGGAAACGTTATTAATATTATGCCGGTATTATAAGATAGGTAAATCTATCTTGTTGAAGTGAAATGATGCAAAAACAAATGGGTTTTCGAACCCAATGCCCTAATTGTCTTTCAAAATCCCTCATAATAAATACAGATGGACTCTCTCTAGGATGATCTTGTCTACGATGATTTTCTCTGTACAACGAATTTTTATATGATCCCATAGGGTTCGTTCACCATTTTATAGAGGTTCTTTACTACGAAATTCTCTCTTCAACGAAATTCTCTTGTAACATCATATTCAACGTGACAGTCTTTATAATAAGCTTTGCAATTCTGAGAAAATTCTTTTTCAAAATTCTGCGATTCAAAATGGCGTGTTATTTTGATATTCCAGCGTCGTATTACGCTTGCGTTGATGTGAAAAAAAAAACATTTGTTGAATATTAAAAATTGCATGTGCAAAGATTCTGTCCAATTTAAGCTGCGATTATGAAAGGGAAGATTATTCGGAAACTGGTATGTTTTAAAATGTTTGAATATCAAGCGTCCTTCGAAGTACATGATACTGTACTGGCGAAGTACCTCTTTAAGCTGATGTTCAGCATATAATCCAAGCATCTTGGGTTCAGAAAAACCTTAACAAAACACAAAAAAAAACCCCACATGTGCTTCAAAACAAAGTGTCACTTGTCTCATTGCGTCCCGTGCTTTATTGAAGGAATCAAGCCTTTGTGTATACTCCAGCTTGCTGCTGTGTAAGAGGGCATAAAACGGGGGAAGCTCTTGTTAAAGAATGGAAGTTCTTTCACTTTAAATACTCTTCTCGTAATTCTGATAAACGTAAAAACGTCTGTCTGCGGAGAACATGATGCGCTTGTGTGTGTAAAAAGGGTCCGGGTTTTATTGGTGGTTCCCGGCGTGCGCGTCGATGTTATCGTCTTTTTCTTCCTCGAAGTATTTCCTCCAGTGGCATCTTGTTACGGGGTGGGCTTTGGTAAAGAGCCAAGTCAAGTGTATTCATCAAGAGGAACTGTTGGGAGAAAAACTTGTACAAGATTTTTTAATATCGTCTAAATCTCAGCGCCGCGAGAAATGTCAGAGTTAAAAAAGGGGGTTTCTTTTTGATTCAAAGTCGTGATACGCGGACCCCGCGAGCCGAAGAACGTTTTCGTTTGCTTCTGCCCGAGAATTATCGTCTGAGTGTTGCGATAAATTTGGCGTTTTTCTGGTTGCTTTTGTTTTTATAGCGTTGGAAGTGGAATACATGCTGGACTCGAAGAAAAACGCTCCTAGAATGTTCTTCATAAATTATGAAGGGAGGAATAAGTTTCGGAGGACCTTCACGTTGATCAAGGGAGCGACTGACTGCGATACTGGTCATGCTTACATCAAGGTATGTTGCATTTTCGAAAGAAGAAAAAAAACAAGTACATGCCTGATCATCATTTAATTTTGGCGAAAATGTTCAGAGAAATTTCACGGATTGATGTCTAAGAATCGTCTGAAAATTTCCTTTCAAGGCTGAAGAAACCTTCCCATAATTATATTTCTCCCTCTGGAACTTGGTGGTTTTCAAAAAATTTAAACTGAATCCTTGAATTTTGTTGAATGTATTAGATAGAATTTAAACCCCGAATTAATTCTCCTTTGTGGAACTCGCAGTTTTATTTGTTGCATTCCGGTGATCGTCGCCTTTACTCATTGAGAAATTGAAAGACTAACGAGTGGCACGAAATTTAACGAATTACAGTGAATAAAATGAAAAAATACGGATTACAGTGTTGTGATTGTGGATGCCGCCGTAAAAGAAAATGAATCGGATTGCAATACTTCCACTTATGCATTTTTCTGCTCGTCGGTTGAGAAAAATATTATCCAATTTCAGCTCGAAATGAAGCATCAGTAATACTTATAACAAAATGCCAGTACAGTACTGTAATTACATCTTCTCTTTTTGAAGTGCCGTATATTTCAACATTTTTGAAATTTAATTTACATGCTTTTTGATTTTCCAACATATGCTCGTTTACTTCATCAGCTGTATCTCGGTGAACAATAACAACGAAATTTCAATACTTCCGCTGTGATTCCTGGGGCGAGTCAATGAAAAAATTTTGAAGGATCTCCATAAAAAAAAACTGGAGCGTGTTCAATGTTTTTCCAATATTTCTCCGTACTTCGAAAAGACAAACTTTGGCTGTAATCTTGCTCTTTCAATAAAATCAATGGGAAGACACTGCAAAATAATTATTACCTTTCATCTGCATGCTGTATTGAAAGTAATTGCGGGATTTTTCAGAGATCTTGGGTCATCTGTTCCTCATTGTTCAACCTTCGTGTGGATGGCTTTTCTTCTGCTATTTTTGAATTATTTCATTACTTCGACACTCAGAATTGTATTATTGTAAATTTCAGGATGGCATTAGGGATAAACTGACGCCGATTGTTGGAACAGCAACTTTCAAGTTGAGTGAACTGACTCCTTTCATGCGTGGCTTGCGACCCATCGTGGGTCCTGTGCACTCTTTCGAAGACGCCATCACCATTCAGAGAAATTGCGGCGGTGACGACGTTTGCATTCCTGACCTGCAACTTAGTGCTGTGCTGTAAGTATTTCTTGCGAAAATGATCCAGAACCTCGCGACATCTTGTCTCCAATACTTCAGCTTCTTTCTTTCGTTCTTCAAAAAAAAAAATTCCAAGTAGTCTTTCAGCTAATTAATTTCGTAATTGCAAACTTCGAGGCGCTGTATTTTTTTTTCATGAAAATATTTGACCGTCCTGCTGCAGTGTTATAGTTGCTTTCTGAAATTCGGCGGGGTTCTGTGCATAAAAAAAATTGAACGTGGGATGAATGAGTCATTCAAGTTCCCGATTCTCTTGCTTATACTGAACAAAGGTCCTTCTAAAAAGTTGCCCTTTTTTTCCTACTCGCCGAAAGGTTCACAAAAAGTTATTCAATGCGAAACTTTCACAATTAGCGCGAATGAAAATGATTTAAAGTGAATTTAATTTAAATTCAGATGTTCTGTTGGAGAAGAAGCTTCGAGTGACGTCATCCAGGAGTTTTATGTTGCGGGTGTAAAAGATGGTTAAGTAAATTGTTTCAGTTCTGCGAATTTTTTGGCTGCTTATTTAGTTTTAATGTGTTTTGAGACTTGCCAAAGGAAAAGTTGTGCTAAATCTCTTAATCATTTAAAAAAGCACAGTATCATTTTTTCTTCATGATAACTGATTTTGTAGGCACTGTTTCTTTCTATAAGTGACGTACGGTCGTAAATTACCTGCGCCATCTTTTCAAATGTTCATGAAAAGCTACTGTATTATAAACTTGAATATTTCATTTACTGTGTGTGTCTTTGTTTCTTGAAAACAGGAACCGAGAAAGTTATTTGGTGGGCAGTGGAGACAACATTGAGATGGACGTCAAAGTGTTCAACGGCGGCGAAGACTCTTTCGAAACTACTGCTTTCCTCACGATGCCCTCGGGCGTTAATTATGTGAAAATAGAACGTCTTGACACGAACCACGGGATTCCGGTTTTCTGCTCTCCTAATTTGAGTCAGCGGATTGTCAAGTGTGACATTGGGAATCCACTTCCTGCCTACCAACAGGTGAATTCCAATTTTCTGATTTATCGAAATGGATGAATCGAGGGTATTTATTGTTGAAGAACCGCGAAAACATATGGTTTTGGGAAGGTTTCTAGGAAATACTGTAATTTGATAACTTATATTTTTTAGTGCCCGTATAGAAACCGAAAAATTACGAAGCAATCGAATTGAACTTTCGTTATTCGGGCTCAAAATCAGCTTCTGGGCAATTTGCGTTTTATATTTCTTCGATTTTTTTAAAGTCGGAAAATCAAATAGATCGCCTTGTACTGTACATTTAAAAAAAATCGATAATGGTAAGCACAAGTCTCGTGAAAATTAGGCGAAAAAGATAATTTTTGATGCTTGTACGATTTCTTAACCAACACTTCATAGTTAATTCAACTGCATTTCGAAAGAAATGTTTCTCATAATTTGGTAACTTATATATGCTCATAATATTCTCATAGCAACCATAAATTTACAGAGCAATTGCATTCAACTTATTTTTCGAATCAAATTTAGATTCTCCGTAATTTGAAATTTTCATTTGTTCATTTTTTGAACCGGAGAAATCGAATGGATGGTCGAGTCCGTTTAAGACATTACCTTGATTGAAAATTAATGTGAAATGTATACGAATTGCGGATTTAAGATCCTGATGGTTTCAAAATTGAAAAAGTGAGCATTCAAATTCAATGGACGGATGCGTATGCGATATTGATCTTGGGAGATAAAAGTTTCGTGATGATTGCGTCTTCGTTAAATGGATTCGTATAAAATTGTCAATTCTTTTCAATGTTTCCAGGTGAGGTTCAACATAATTGTGCACCCTCAAGCGATTCAAGGGGACCGAGAAAATCTCTTGAAAGCTTTGGAATTCATGCTGACCGTCAATTCAACGAATCCTGACGACGAGTCATTCGCCGCTGATAACATGCGAAAAATCAGCGTTCCTCTCCGAGTTGAAGCCGAATTACTCGTGTCGGGGTAAAGTTCACATTAATGACCTTACTTTTGGCCTGTAATCTGTAATTTTCTTGGGTTTCGATGCTCTATCAAATGGCTTGGTGTCAAGAAGAAGAAAGAAGCCAAGTTTTCTAGTCATTTCGTATAAATCCGACGTGCACGTGAATTATTATTATAGCCCACAACTTTCGTGGTTCTGTTGGGTGAAAGATCATCGCTGGAGAATTAAAGAAATAATAACCATTAAAAATACTGCGTAATCCAGAAAAGTCACTCAGTTTTAATGTGAGGTTCTCGGGTTTCTGAGCCAGCTCATCTCCTCTGAATTCTTTGAAAAAGCGAGAACAAAAAAAAGTCTTATACTGTATTTTTTTTCTTCTTGCGTGGCAAAAAGGCCGAGAGCTTACTGTTTGAATCGATTTAATTTACATGGGGCATTGTTTCTTTGCTGCAGAGTTCAAGAGCCAGAAACCGTTACTTACAATCGATCGAATTACAAGAAAGACAGTTGGAAATCCGAGAAAGAAGTCGGCCCTCAAGTTGTGCATCGATACATCGTCGAAAACCGCGGTCCGTCGGACATCAACGAAGCTGTTGCTTTCATTGTTTGGCCCACTTATGCATCCAACGGTTTGTGAAACTATAATATCTCTGTGTGCTTTTTTTCCTTGAATCCATTATTAAATTTTCAAAAAGTATAAAGGACTTGTGTAGCATTCCTTTCTGGAAATCATTTGTTCAAGTGCGCTCGAAATCCGTCTGGTTTTCCTGTTTTGTCTGAAATTCGAATGCGGAGAACCTATAGGTTAATCTATTAAAATTTTATCCTTATAATGTATTGAGAATATACGAGAATTTTGCTTGAATGAAATACTCAGATTTTTAAACAGTACAAAGGTGGACTCGCGATTTCGTCTACGAAGATTTTCTCTGTGTATTACGAATTTTTCTGGTTCCTTAATAAATTTCGTTGTAGACAGTCCACCTGTTTTGAAACTAGATACAGGTAAAAGAAAAAACCCTAAATGCTGAAAGTTGAAGCGCAAAACTGCGAGTACTCCATTGAAAATTGAAAGACAAAGACAAAAGTTCGATCTTTCCGAATAATTTTTTCTTATGGACGAATGCTGCGTAATTAAACAAAGATTAATTTACCAGGAAGCAACGTTAATTTAGATTGATTAAAAATTGGGTTATATGTACCTCGTATACGCCTCAAGTTTCAGGTTAGGATGAAAGATTGGCGAAGAGTAAAGAGAGTTAACATTTGACAAATGCATTCATACTTGCATAAAGAAAAAAAAGATATTTCGGGAGTGAGGAACTATAAAAATAAATCGAAGAATACGCCAGTTATCAAGTAGAGCATTGTTTTTAAGTTTGAGATTATAAACTATCCAGAAATTTTACTCTTTTCCTGGTGTGAGACTTGCGAAACATGATCTTGAGGCAACGGCGTCGCTTATTATTCGAACTGGTGCGCCTGAATTTTCTAATCTTGCGTGACTCAAATTCTTATATATTTCAGGGGATTACCTTCTATATCTCATGGAGCAGCCAGAAGTTGAAGGCCCTGGCTGGTGTAGGAAAGTGAAAAACGTCAATCCGCTCAACCTGGAGGTAAACTGTCTACTTTTATCGGTTATCCATTTTTCCATAGCTATATAAAAGCTGTATTCAAATGGATCCCTGTTAAAATCCAGCAGTTTTAACATTTGAGGACGATTAAACGCATAAAATATGAATAACGAAAAATACTGATTAAGACGAATTCGGTATCCACTTATACCATGCGCCCTCATGTAAAATTCGCAATAACTTGATATTTTATGCAGAACAATTCGAGAAAAACCAATCCCGGCGTAAGACGCACAAACCGAGTTTCTGTCACAAAAATCGATTTATTTTAGGAGATGAACGTTACAATTTGAAAGTTACAGGAATTGACTTTGAATTCCATTGTGCTGCTGCTTTTCTTTTTGTTTCGCATTTTATTCTGCTGGTTTGATTTCTGCTTATACAATATTTTTCTCATTCTAGTCTGTAGAAAAATATTTTTCAAACTTCTACAAATACAGTACTTTTCAAGTTTGATGTGCACCAAAAATGTACAAAATTTGCGGGGGGAAATGCAGAATTGAGTATGACATTTTTTTCGGAAAAATGTGACTGTGGTACCTGATGGACGAATGCTGTGACTGATAATTTCTGAACTTGAAGGAGTTATAGAATCTTCTTTTACTGTAGTAAGTTTTTTTATGATTCTTTTTTCGTCGTGATGCCGAGAACTTTTGATTCGAGTTGAAATTAGTCCAGTGGAAAATGCTAGTTTTACGTGCTGTGAATGTATAATGGAGTTTTATTTTAAGCTACGTATTAATGGAAAATTCAACGTCAATTTATTGAGCTGTTTCAGAATCCCGAAACTTTGTTGTGGGATTTTTCTCTGCGTGTGGTTCCATATAAAAAATATAATTATTATTCGCCGAATAATCTTCATGGCTTGCTTGCTTGCTTGTGGCAGCTGTTCAAGGAGAAAATTCAAGGCAACACCGAGTTCCTTCAGGAAGAACTGGATCCAACGTCAACCGGATCCGGTGTCGGATCTGGCGAAGGACTGCTTCCGAGCTCATCCGACGAGCACTTGCTGGAAACCGAGTACTATTCTGGCTCATCAGTCAAAGGAAATGCTGGATACGGTCAAGGAACGAGTACCAGCACTGATGACAGCGAGTCCAGCAGTAATCAGCATCATTTCCGACACGGCAGTCAGCAACAACACGGCGGCAACGAGGGGCATTATGATGCCAATGCAGGTGTCGGAAATAACCACGAGTCCACGTTTCACCGGTCTTCGTCTTCGAGCAATATTGGCACTTCGGACTCTGGAGAGAGAGTGAAAACGTCGTCTTATTACGAAGAGAAGGTGTATCGAAGCAGCAGCAGTAAAACGTCATCAGCGTCGAAAACGAGTTCTTCGTTGTCTGGGGGCTCGAAGTATCATCAGGCCGGTTCCAGTCACGACGATTTCTATGGAGCTTCTGATGATATGTGGGATCCGAACGGCAATGCTCTTCCCAGAACTAAGTAAATATTTTCGAGTCTTTTTTTTACATTTGAAAAGCTCTTAATCTGTGCTCCGCGAAGACCGAATGTGTTCTTCATGAGCTTCGCCGAGGCTCCGCTGATGCTGAAGAATTGGATAAATTAGAGGAAGAATGAAATACAGTACAGCACGGTCGAAGCTCTTCAAGTCGAACTTCAAGATAACAGCAAACATATCGAGTTAGGAGTCAGAAAAAAAAATCATCTTTGTTGAGGAAAAGAATTAAAATTTGCAGGAATTTGTTATTTGTAATATTTGGGCCTCAAATTACTTCTTAATTGATTTATAATTGATTTGACAGGGTGCTGAACTTGGAGGCAAGGGTTCATTTCACCAATTTGTATTTCTGCACTTCCTTTCAGAATCATTCTTAACATTTCTATTGCATTTATCTTTCTTGTGTCAATAAAATAATAGCCGAAAGGCCTCTATAGAAAATTCGAGTTATATATAGATGTTTGAGAGAAAATGACTTCGAGTTATGGAGACATTTTCAATGCGTTATTTCCAAGGGAATTCAGATAGGCCTGAGAGGGACTTAAAAAAGCTGTTTCATTATTAAAATTAGTGAAGGTGTAATTTGATTTCAGCTTATGCTGTACGAAGAGAAAAATATATCCACGATCATCCGAGCTCAGAGGAATAAACGGTCATACAGGAATTAAATATACTGTACAAATATCAAATTATTTCTCGATATATATATTGTGATGGAGGGTAGATGGGATTCAACTTCGAGATACTGTTGTATAATTTCGGGATTAATACTTTCACGGGCTGCAGTTTTGATGTTGTTATTGGTCCAAGATTTTCAGATTAATATCGTGTATGTTTAAAATCCATGCTTAGAAATTATTTTCAACTTTGGGAATCCATACGGGATGATTCGTTGATGATTGAATGAGACTAAATCCTCAAAATTGAAAGAATACATTGATTAAATTACAAATTTAGTTGTTATTTTGCTTTTTAAATCTCGATACAGCAGTTAGTTACACATATTTGATGGACTTCTGGGGGTATATATAGAGCTCTTCGGAAACGCTCCCTTTTTCTATGTTCCTCATTTATGGAAGACATAAAGGCTAGACTATAATTGAACTAGAAGCCAAGAAAAGTTGGTGTTGAAATGCTACCGGAAAGTTTTTGATTTGTCATTAAATAAAACTCATCCATATCCATTGGGTTGTTCCGAATAAGGGCATTTTTCATCGTCGATGACAGGAAAGCAGGCTAATGAAACCTTTTGTGGCATTCGCAGGCGGCAAGCCCCTTGGATGAAGGATTTTCGGCGTGAAGCCAAGGACTGCGGGCCGACGACCAGCAACTGCACCATCATTAATTGTACCATCGGGCCTTTGGGCCAAGCTGACAAGTTTATTGTTACCTTACGAGCTCGATTGTGGATCCACACGTTGGCTGATGTGAGTATAGAATCCGCTGCTGATCCAGATTCAGTTCATTATATTTCTTTCGTTCGTTCGTCTTTTTATGTACGCATTTCTGTAAAGCAGATGGGAGGAAAGGGCGCTGTTCTAATATGTGATCAGCAGCATCTGCCATAACTTGTTCTTGCATTGTTCTTGCGTGAACAAAACAAAGATCTTATTTTGAGCCTCTAGAGATATTTGCTTTGAAGCTGGTTTCCTGAAAGATGAATACTGACTCGGTGCATATGGTTTTGATTAAGCCATTATTCTGGCCTTTCTTTCCATGAAACCTCCGCTTAACATCATTGGTTGATGAGTGAGTAACTGGAGTTTTATACTACTGGTGGAAACTCATCACAACGAACTTGAAAAATTCCTGAAAAATTCTTTCAAAATCAGCCTCGTGAGATCAGTGTGCAAAATTAGATTTCTTCTGCATTCGGATCAATTTTTGAAAATAGTCAATCAGAATGGTTCCATTCAAAAGCATGAGAGGAAATTGGGTTGAAAATTCAATTCTTAGTTCTGTCATCATCATACAGTATTGTACTGTAATTCAAGGTCGATTGAACTTATAATCTCGTGGTGTTGGTTCGGTATATAGTAGAGCAGCATCAAAAAAGGTTTTTAAAAATTCAGTGTTTTTTTGGGGTGGAGATTTTCTCTTGTCTGTTCTGTAAATGTCAAGCAAGTTTTTCAATTTCACTTATGACATCGAGAAACCCTGGGTTTTTTTTTTCAACCTTCGGAGTGGCGATTAATATTTCAGAACATGTTGATCCGTCTGATAATGGAGCGGTCTCTACGTTCTTTGTTCTCTGCAATCTCAAGGTTGGTCGCGTAGTCGAACAGTACCAAAAGTTCTTATTTTAGTAATCTTCCATCAATTTTTCCATATTCTGCACCCGGTAAACGTCACCCAAGTTCTGCACGGCGTCAAAGGACCCTCGGATAGTCGGATTTTTTTAATTTTCATATTCTTATGGCGAATATTTCTATAATTCTTAGAACTCCTTTCAAACCTGCGTTTTCTCACATTTAGTTGGGATACGGAGATGCTTCCATCTCCTCGAAAATGGTCGCGAGAGTGACTTCGTTGCCACATGGTGTTGATCCGTCCTACATGCGGTTTCAAGCAACTGCTGTCAAGTCGATCATCAATCCCGGCGATGAAATTTTCGAAGCGAAACCCGTGCCTTGGTGGGTGTATTTACTGGCTGCTCTCGGAGGCTTGTTGTTGTTGCTGTTGCTCATTTACGGACTTTACAAGGTGAGTTATTCCTGCGTCACCCTTTTTCTATTGCGCCATGACCACAATACGAAAACAGTACAATACTGTTGAAACGCGGCTTACCCGATAGACATTATCCAGATCGTTATTCTGTGAGGCTGGCGGAACTCCGTGAATGAATATGTACAGTGCTTTCATATTCTTAAGGGATCGAAAACATACTGTGTATGCATCGTCAGGAGGAACTTATAATCATAAAAAATCCAGCGAAAAGACACTTCTTCTCTGAGCCCCATATCAGCATCGGTCTGAGGGAACACTTGCAGGAACCGTTATACTATTCACCAATAAAAAAATGCATCGTTCGTGAAATACTTCTGAAAAGTACTATAATTTTGCGTTTATGATTATGAGAATGAAAAGCAACAGGTATATTTCATTCTGAAGCAATCGATTGTGTTATCCAATGAGTTTGTGCTGGTATATTAATTTCGCGCTCTGCTGTCCTGAATGGTCTACGGACCTGTCACAATGAATGAGAACGTTTTGAAGAAGGAGGAAGATCTATGCTGTTCATATTGTATCTCTAAATTAGTGCCTCAGTAGTCATTATGTATGAGAATGTTGAATTGAAGGTATTTGTTGTGTAATATGCGCGTCATTTTGATTTTTGAAATTGTTAATTGAATCTCATTTTAATCAGTTTTGGGATCCAGCACTGCGTGTAGTTTCGATGCGAAGATGTATCTTCGCATCGACATAATTTGATAAGAATATTGGGTCACCTCAGTAAGATTATATTTCACCACAGTAATACGCATTTATGATGTTTCTGTTGATTATGCGTAATTATATGCAGCACTCTTCTTGTGAAACCCACTTCAATGACTTCATCGTGATAAATCGACAAAATATGATATCTTCTATACAGGAAATCATATCCGAAGTACAGTACATTATATAATCGGATCGATGTGATCTCTCTTGAATCCCGAGGTCGCCTTATTATGTAGTAATAGATAACTCTTACCAGGGTGTTATATGTTACCTCGAACTTATGCACATAAATTTGCTCGATGTTTTCCAGTGTGGATTCTTCAAACGCAAGCGACCGAAGCACGCTAATGGATCCGGGCCTGGCCGTATGCCACTAAATGGATATGACCATAACGATACGGCTCTATGATGGCCGAACTCCGGTGTTCAATTTGGTTTTCAAGTCTCCCTCGTGAAGAGTTCGCGCGTGTTTTTTTTTTTTTTTTTTTTTTTTTTTGTGTTTGAGATGGTAGCCCCCCTCGTGAAGGGTTCGCGCGTGTTTTTTTTTTTTTTTTTTCATTTTTCAGTGTTTGAGATGATGGGTTGGAGAAGATGATGGAAGAACTGATTTTTTTTTTACTCACGCGAAACTGTGATCATGTACCCGCGTTTCGGAGAGACGCTTTTGAAAACACTCTTTATAAAAATTAAATATTTTTCGCGTTTGATGAGGCTGGGTTCCTGACGAGACGAACTAAAAGCTTCATTAGATAAAAGTTTCAGTTAACAGGGTGTTTTATGTAATCTCCATTAGCGCCTTTCCCGTAGGTAAGCCGAATTGGTGGGGAAACTAGTCGAATTAACTATATTTTGTGTTTATGTGGAAGAGGGGTTTATGAAGAGTTTGGTGAAGTTTTTGTATAATGGTAAGACGATGATGAGAGTGTGGGGACGTACCGCTGTTGCGATCGCCAAGCAGCACTTCGATTTTCAATTTCAGTTTCGTTGGATTTTCTAATGGTTGTTCATCGAGTTGGTTGTACGTCCAACCTCGACCGTTTGTTTTATTTTCGAGTGTTATGCTGCGTTTTTTTTTTCACTATCAGTTATTCAAACTATTGCATTTGATTTTGGCTCACTCGGTTTGCCCTTGGGTGACGCGAATATTTTTGCTATTGGGCTGATTGCTGAAGTTCGCATTGGTGCTATATTTCGGTTTCGTTTTCTGGCCTCCTTGGCGAGGACCGTGAACACTCCATGTCTTTCTCTCCTCGTGCTCAACTAATGCCGTCGGGGCTGAGTCGTCAAGTGCGGTCACCTTTTCGCCAATTCGGTTTAGCGTTCATATTATTTGTGTCCGTCTCGTTTGAAGGCTGAGAAGGTGACTTTGCTTGGTGTATGAGTTACGGCATTTGTCAGCTTTTGCCAGTTGCTATAGACGTGCATGCTGGCTTTTTCGGGAAAGACTTTTTTCGCGATGAGGATGAATGGACTAGTCAAATTCTGTTTGTGGCGTTTCGCTGACTCGGTTGGGATCGGGATCCCAACTCTTTTTTTTTGTTTGTGTTTGAATTGTTCTTGAAGCGGTACCTGGGCTCTCGTTATCATGTCTAACCATAGCCTTGGAGACAGAAATTTCGACGAAATGTCAATTGAATGGGTGCGTATATCTGGCCAGGATTGGATATTCTTTTGCTGAATGGAATGAGATCTGACGGATGTGTTTGCTGAAGTAATGATTGTTTTGGATGTAACCTCAAGCGCTGTGACAAGTCTTCGCGGTTTTTTTTTCATTCATTTGAGTGTCTGATTTTTCACGGTGTAGCTCGATGACCTGTCTGATGATTTTCCCAATGGAATAATCACCTATCCTGAACTTTAAGTAAATAAGGTTCACATCGCGGAATTTTGCTGCAGGAACCGAACAGTTCCGGACGGGACGTAACTGAAGTGTACTTCTGGAATCCTTGCAAATTATAATACAGTAATATTTTTCTGATTCAAAATTGAAAGAACGCCATAGTTTCGAATGTTCTGCTGTCACTAAGTGCTTGAAGGATTAGCGCGTTACTTTCCATATTTCAGGTGAAAAAGTTCTTTAAACGGATTCATAATATGTAACACAGTACAGTATAGTACGCATATCATCTTTTAATACCATATCAGTATGACTGTTCATACATTCAGAAGAGATGAAACAATCTTTATGAAATTTCCTCCCCATGGACTCTCAGAAAAGAATGCATTATTATTTTACACCGTGATTATCAAGAACCAATCCTTCATGTTCATCAAGGTCGATGTTTTTTTTTTTAACCGAATGGTAGTATTGTGTCCGTTCAGCGAACTGTGAAGGGACTTGTGACCCGACATGTTGTGCCATTTCATTCAGAAAGCGGCTACGTTTGATGCTGGGCTGCCGGAATGAATTTAGTTGTCCTATGATGCTCATTTTTGCGCGTTCGCACCTTCTTCCTTCTGGTGTAATATTACTTGTGTCTAATGGATCGTCTGGCACGACTCCGGTTGTCTTTTTTTGAAGTAAAACCTTGGAAATTTGCGTTCTTGCGTTTTTTCCTCGACGTCAGGGCCGGCCCAAGCCTGCATGGCGCCCGTGTGCAAACCCTCACTTGGCGCCCCTATGCATGAAAAACTGCAATCAGACAACATACAGTCAAACCCGAGTTTATGGACATTCTGGGTTACAAATTTTCAGTTTATGGACTGGCTTTGTTTTGGGGAAGTTGCACCTGCTTATGGACTGTAAACTGGCTTATGGACTGTGGTCCATTTTGCTGACTTTGAAAAATTGTTAAAAATTCAAGTTTCAACCAATTTTAGAATTGTCTAGAGCTTTGCATGCACAAAGATGTTTTCTAAAATTCCTTTTTTAAACATGTAAAAATCTGAACATATGACAGAATTACAACCAAACATGTGAACATTTTTTGAAAATTCTACTAAAATCACCAAAAATGTTTTTAAATTTTTTAAAATTATAGCTGTTTCAATTTGTAACATTTTTCAACAAAAAGAAAGAAGCCTGTACAACATCACTGTGCATGACACCCTGTAAATAATTTTCAAGCTTCATCAAAAGCAAATAAATTAGAATGGGCAAAACTAAAAAGCCTGAATTCTTGTTTCAGATTTTCTTCCCAATTTTCATCATTTAAAATTTGCCAAAAAGGTAAATATGCACTGAAATGCAAATTTTCAACTGCATTGAAAGCATCATGAAGTTCTCTACACTTCCCATTTTTAAGCCATAAGATAATCCAAGTTGACAATGGTAAAAATGAGAATGTAAAACCTGTTCTAAATGACAAAAAAAACATTTTTCAGATCTGAAAATTTATACAAAATTTCCTTCTTTACCAAACTTTAAACATTTATAGGGATTAGAGGTGCAGAGATTTCTTCTGAATTTTTGTGCTTTTTGTTGAAAAATTTAGTAAATTAAAAAATGTATCAGCAAAAAACTAGAACTTTTTAAAATTTTGTTATTGTTCGTTGGATAATTGTGCTTCTTTTAACAATTTGCTCTTTTATAACTGTGCCTATTTTAATAACTGTGCACTATATGCACTGTCAATACAGTACATGAAACAATGAACCATGCTGATTAGTCTCTTGATTACAAAATCTAAAAAAATTCTAGTTTCTTGCTCAATTCTGCAATTAGCTGTATTTTTTTAAGCATGACAAATTTTAAAACTTCTCTGCACATCTAACCCCATTACATATTTAAACTAGGGGACATTTTATCTTTCACCAAACTTTGCATTTTCAAAGGGATTCCAGTTGCAGATAATTTTTTGAGTTTTCATGTTTTCTGTTGAAAAATCTATCAAATTAGAGAATTTGCCATCAAAAATTATAAATTTTTTGATTTTGTAATAGAATGACTAATAAATGCTTAATTGTTTAATGTATTGAGAGTGCATAAAGTGCAGCGGTTGTGCAGTTTCAGAATGTCAGTGTTCCTGAATTTTCATTCCACAGGATGAATTTTCCCTCTTATTTTTATAAAAAAGGTATTTTCTTAAATTGTCCCCTTTTTTCTTTTTCTAGGGAACAGGGGAAATTCTCCCCATTTTTTGCAAAAAGGGGGTTCTCCACAGGGTTGAAGCTTTCAAGTAGACTGACTATATGTGGATGAAGAGGTTTTTTTTTTTTTTTACTTTTTCCTGGATTCCTTGGGACACAGTGGTTCAATTTTTGAGGCATGTGATCGGCCTATTAAGGTGCAGTCCAAGACATCACAGGCTGAACAGGAAGCATCAGAATTGGGTAGGGGAGAGGGAACTCAGGGATTTGAAGTTTTTGATGCTTCCTGTGTCTTGCTGTTTATTTCTGTCAATTTTGAAGTTCTGAAAGGAAATAATTTTGCCGGCATGATGAGGCGCCTCATCAATGAGTCAATCAATGATGAGGTGCCTGGCGCCTCATCATGCAGGCACACCCCCTCCTTACTGCCCGGGTCAGGTCTGATTTTTGTGCCAACTCTGGCACTGATTTTTGCGCCCCCCCTAGCCAGGCGCCCGTGTGCAGTGAACCCGCTGCACCCGCCTTAGGCCGGCCCTGATGTTGAGCGTAGTAAGTCATGATAAACCGAGTGAGCAAATTCCTTCGCAGGATTCGACAGAGGTTCTTGTTTCCTCCGATGCGACGACCGTGAGATGTGGTGATTAATTTTCTCGGTACTTCCTTGTTGGAGTTGGTTTTCTAAATTTTGTTTTCTGAACTCGCATATGATGCAGTGGTTCTTAAAATAAACAGTTGAGGCGCGAATGTCATGAACCGTTTCGGAAACCCAACCTAACATAATCCCGGAGTCATGGTTAATCTCTTCAAATATACCTAACTTGCGTGGCATATTCTTGCGCATTTGAAAGTGGTGTACTGTATAAGCGTAAGTCAAGATATAACAGCGCTGAAATTGTAGCCATTTATGAATTATGTTGCCTTCGTGAAACATTTTCAACTTATGCTCTCGAGCATAAGTTCTGTCCAAGCGGAGATTTGTGGGGATTTACCGAATTATCTTTGGTGGCCATAAGAGCTTCTCATCGCTACAAGAGCCGCAGATGATCGGGATTATTCCGAGGTAAAACTGAGATAGTACCTAGGGAATCTGTTCCATTCTCAGGGAAGTGCTATGATTTCCGTGTACCGTGTTTTCTGAAGAAACTTTTTAAGCCTGGTAAAAGTTTCCATTCAATCGGGTTTTCTGTGCTACCCGTGGTTCAAACACAAAGATTATAGGATAGGTTCGGGTGAATAAGTCATGTCTTTGTGGATTCCATTATCGGGTTAGGTAATTTGTGCCGTGAATTTCAATATTCATGGGTTTTCGGTGAAGTTGGTTTAGTGGAGATCATTTAGGTTTGTCAAGTTAGATTATGTTATGTTGGTTTGTTGTCAAGTTTAGTCAGTTGCCAGGTTATTAATCAGTTTTGGGCCTTCGATTTTAGGTTATTCGATCATAGTTTCATGTTTTATCATTTTGTGAGTCAAGTGTTCGGTTCTGTCGGTTTTGCGTGATGAAGTTGGGATGCGTCTGCCGAGTGATTTTCAGTTTAACTTTGTCATTTTTAGCAAAGGATCCCGTAACTTTGTGCAGTTTGTGCTTTCGATAGTTCTTTTGGCTTGAGTTACATTATTTTACTCTGATACGTTGGTCTGATTTGAAATACTCCGAGAAAATCCTATCCATCTCAGCCTTCTATTCGTCGTCGGTTCGTATCTCAGAAGATGGTTTTGCGTGAAGGCATCGGATAAGTCTGCTCTTTTCGGACAAGGAGAATGAGTGATTCGTATTGACCAATCGTCTACATTCGCATCGGAATGAGGTGTGTTTGTGTCTGTCATTCGAATATGTGTTTATTCTTCAAGTGTCAAAGTGTCGTAAGTTTTGTTAATTCGGTTCGTCCCAGTGTCATCATCATTCGTTGCAGACAATGCGGGGATCGTTTTTTAGTTCCCGAGCGACGTGATGAAGTAACAAAATCGACGTCTTGGCATCAGAGATTCAAACTCCGTATCGTCGGTCTGAGTTGAAGGTTTGATTTCCCAAAGTGTTGCGAAAGTTCTTCCGTCGCGAAGAATAACAAATTGTGGAGCTCACCTTGAGCACTGAGATGGCTTGATTTTGCGCTGTATTATTTGCTCAGCAGCCAGCCTTTTTTTTAATGCGAGAAACATGCTCAATATTTTTCGAAGTGGAGGCAAATTTATTTTTTGCGCAAAATTTGGCCAAAACCTGTTGGGACGCATCATTACAAATTTTGATGCATATTTTAGTATCTCTGACCCGCAGTCAATTGTCTGTTACAGTATTTAGTTAAATTTCAATGTCAAACCTTCGTTATCTTTGAGATTTTCGATTTCTATTCAGTGAGAAACCTGGTGCTCTGCTTCTCAAATGACATCTGAGTTCATGTCTGATGAAATCCTGAATGTTTTCTGGGTACGACGGATGAAATCCCCCCCTGTTATTCGGAATTGACTTGGGCATGAAGTTCGGAACGTTGTTTGTGAACTCAGAAGGTTTGAATCTTCTTCATTTTTTCCATGTGCGACCAGATCTTTCCCATGATAACCTATTGTTCGTGTCGTGTCCTTGCGTGACTCACTTTTTTTTTGCTTTGGAATTGGAAGTGATTTGAGTGCAGTGGCGATTAATTTGTGATTTTCATAAGAAAAAGGACATACGTTCGTGATTTTTCGATGATGATCAGCGAAAAAAAAGAACTGTTTCCGACACGTATCTGAAGGTTTGGTGAGAAATTTCTCTCCGTGAATTCCGTAGACAAGAAGGAACGTTTCCACTTGGTATTTATTTGAGGACAGTATATTTTATCTCTTTCAACATCGCGGACGATAAGATGAGCCCTCGATAGAATACCTTGAAATAGATGCCAACATTTCTTCATCATTTCGCGTAACGCATTTTTAATTAAACTGAGGCAGACGCCGGGAGAATCAGATTTCCTTTCCAGGCGAACTGGTTTTTTTCCAGATTTGCATAAACTCTGAAACGTATAAACGTGATTCACAGCGAAACGTTGCAGTGGGTTCCCAGGAAAATCTGGTTAAAGCTCTTCAGAGTCATGGGTCATGAATAAATTGGGATGCAGGAATTTTCAGTAACCCGGTTCTGTCGAGAGTTCATGTGACACAACAGCATTCCTTTGATGTTAAACTTTGTTTCACTGCGTAATAGTGCATTTGGTCCTGCGAAACCCTGTACCTTTCAGTTGCGAAGCACGGGTTGACGATGGATTTTCACCGTAAAGTACTTTGAAAAACGTGTGATGTAGATGTAATTTACAATGTCTTGTCACTTATTCACGATGTGTAAGAGACTGTGATTCACGGGTTGAACCGATAAATTGGACCGATTTTTGCAACGAATATTTCCTTCTAATACTTAATCCTTTCTAATTCCTTGCGTTGTTTTGAGAAACAGAAAAACATATTTTATTTATTTTTGGGTTTAATAACTTCGTGAGCATCTCAGCTATTTGCATTATGATGTCAATTCCGGATACCTGA